AATATTTAATTGAGTAAGTCCAATAAATCTATTGTTAGGTCTGGAGGAGATTAGATAGTGCATCTAGATAGGTACTTGCATCTTTATTTTCAAGTAAATTATATCAATACTTTATGTTTATATAAAAATGTTGTGTTTTAGAGAAATTCCTCTGAAATATTTGATTAATGTTTCTGTTTTTATATTCTCTATTTTTCTTTCTTCGATGTGTCTTATAGGTCTACCTCGCGTTTGGATATTATACAGCTGATTCCCATAAACGAGAACTTTGACAGAACATGTTCTCCAGCGGTATTGATTCAAACTATAACGAGAGAACTGACAAGGAACACTGCAATTGTCTTGGCAGAGGACGTCAATACTGGTCACTTTCTGAGATGCGACATTATAGTAGATGCAATTTTCTCTCTAAATCTCATTACTACTACGAGAGAGTTATACATCGAGGATATACCTGAAGCTTTCGAGGTTCGAGCATATGATGAACATGGAAATGAGTTTACAACTTTAGCAGGCATAGAATTTGTATGGAGTATTGGCGATGCTAATAAACACATGCCATCGGACAGTAAAGCCACGAGCAATGTGCTTCGTTTTATGACTTACGAGGAGTCACAGTATGAAAGGCCCATTAGTATAGCTATGTTAGATAGTGTTGACAAAAGAGGTCACATTATTCTCATAGAAGGCGTTAGAACCGGCACGGCTAAGGTATCTGTTAAATTACCGCATTCGGAGTATAAATATGTTCCATCCATAGAACTGGAATTGGTCGTCATTGCCAATTTAATCATCATTCCACCAGAGATAACAATAATGGCCCACGACAGCTTCAGATACAAGATAATGCACACTCGTCAGGGTCGCCTGGAGGAGATCAGCCTGCCTTTGAGCCAGTATTATCTGGAAGCTGAGAATACCGATATATTAGAGATCGATAACGATCGTGATTTTGCCTATGGACGTAAACTGGGACGTACAAAAGTGTTCCTACATGATAAGAATGTCCGTGAAGAATATCCGGTTATTCTACCTTCCGCTATAGTTAACATACACGAAGTTGCATATATCTCTCTTTCTGTTTTACCAAACAGAAACTGGGGATTGGTATTAGACCACGCTCACGAGATCGTTGTTGAACTATACAATAGCAAAGATCATAAATTCCACATCGGAGAAGGCGTGGAAGTCTCCATGAAAATAAACGAGCAATATCTAGAACCGAAGTCGATTACGCAAAATGGTACTTATGCTATCGTTGTACCGATTGTCTGTGGAATAACGACCGTGGAAGCGACGTTGCGCGGTATAATCGATGAACATGGCAAGAGGATTGCCTTTGAGCCACAGCTCTCTACGAGAGCCGAACTTACGATACACACACCAGTAAAGGTTCAACCTCGCGTCTTGGCTGTTCCATGGGACATTGTAAACAAGTCTAGGTAAGCATAGAGGAATTGTTAATTAGAGAGAAGGATTAATAAAAGGAATAAATAGGCCAAAAACAAGCAAAATATGTTGTATATTTAAAAATAAAATTAATTTATTTAAATATAAACTTTAGATTCAACGGGACGTTTCGATTTAGTATTCCTCAGCCATTGTTTTTTGGTTTATGTATTTCTTTTATTGTTTTGCAATATGAGCTAGTAAATATGAATTTTTTTATAATTTTTTTGAAGGATTTGAAGGAGTAATTATAAATTTGTTCTGTCTACTTTTTATTACTGTGTGTGTCCTAGATTTGACATAATGTTGAAAACGAGCGGAGGAGACGGGTCGTATGTTTGGTCCAGTAGACAACCGTCGATACTAGCCGTCTCACAGAACGGTGGTATCAAAATTCTGTCAGCGGGTACGGCGGAAGTAGTTGTCATGATGGCAAGAAATCAACACAACAGAGATACGGCGAAAATACATGTATTGCCTCCTGTAAAGCTAAAAATTATCGAATATAACATGGAAGCGGCTATAGGAGAACCCATTCATTTGCACGTCGCATTATTTGGGCTACTGATTAATGGATCCGATGCCAGGGAGATACCCTTCAGCGACTGCAAGGATGTTGATTTCGAAGTACATATTCCAGACATGAATTTCGTACGGAGTTATGATAAAAATGCACAACCGGTTGGCGCCGCGTGTGCCGTGATAACCGTAATAAACTATCGCAGCATTGGTACATCCGACGTGACTGTTGCCTACAATGCGAACAATAACGATGTGATTGACCATTATTTAACAGACAATGTCACCGTGTCAGCATACGAGCCGCTCGCGGCGATACATCCACAGAATAAGGAAACGTTACTCACTATAGGGTCCTCGAGGTATGTGGTATTTAAGGGTGGACCGTTGCCGTGGACGAATAAATCTCAAGAT